TATATATATATATATATATATATATATATATATATATATATATATATATATATATATATATATATATATATATATATATAATTTAACCTTTGTTTTGATGATTGGCAGGTTCTGAGATGTGGCCCACCTCCCATGAACAAGGCCATGGCTGCACATCTGGATGATCTGGGCTACACAAAGGAGATGCAATTCCAATTCTAAGGGAGTTTTGGCATTTGGAGATTTGTTCATTTAACATTTGGAATTGAGGACAGAAATAAGATTTGCTTGATCTATATTTCAGTTCTTCAGAATCAATGCCCAGAGTTGGAACTTTCTATTGTTTTACTAGAATTATGGCATTATGAAACCAACATTTTGTTGTTTACTGTATCCTGATTTGAGTTTAGCTGATGGATGGACAATCACAAGCATTTAGGGTTTGATGGAATGTGTTGATGTCCTTATCACCTGATAATACAATGTTTAGGAATTGGTGGTGCATCTTTCATGTGAGGTAATCACCATCAGACCCTTGATTTCTGCTATTACTTAGCAAAATTGTAGTTAAAGAGTTTTCCCTATAAGATATGATCCTCTTGAGCACCACCTCTTTACTTGATCACAGCATGCATCAAGGAGCATACTGTATGATATGCAAATTTAATCTGCCAAACCTAAGCAGTAGTAAGCATCAGTATTAGCATATGTATGAGACAATCTCCCAATCTTTAGAAACAGTATCAGTATCTGTTTAAATCCATTAAACTGGCACATACTGTTTTAGGTTCGTAGCTGTTCTGTCCAACAAAAACTCATAAGAAAGAAAGGAAAGCTCAGAGACTCAAATGAAATCATAGCTTTAGAAAGTAACATGGATGTAACTTTTGCTTGTAACTGGGTCAAGATAATGATAATGATCAATGACCAACTGGTCAGCCACTTGAAATCTCAGAAGCTTGTTTTACTGACAAAGTAATTCTATTGTTCATAGGGTTAGCCCTCACCTTCCTGAGCTTTTTCTTGCCTGGTGTGGAAATCATGTCCTCTCCTGATGTACTTAGCTTCTGGATGTCATCCACCATGGTCATCACCCAGTTTAAGAGCTTGTTGGAGGTGTTTCAGTACCCATCATGAATCAAGACTCTTTTGACCTCTGACTAGATGAGACTAGATGAGCATGAGTAGATGCATTAAGTGGATAAGAGTGTGATGCAATGAGTAGCACTTGAGCCAGGAAAGTGGAACACCAAGAAAACAAATGTAGAGAGGACATAAAACTGATGCATCATAGAAAGGCATTTCATCCTTGGATTTACCTGGCTGAGGTTAATCTCTAATGATCTTGATAAAACTGCAGGAAAAGGCCATAAATCTTATTCAACACAAAAATCATCTGCAAATTGCTTCAGAATAAATCTGATCAGTGACAAAGTCAAGCTCCAAAACTTGAAGACAGCACTCTATATATAATCATAAAAGGAAGAACAGATGGTTTCTAAGCAAATATTGGATACAGCAGTATCAACAATGTAGCGTAGAAATATAATGGCAGATAAGAGACTCGTATGCCAACCAAGAAGATCCACCAAGCAAATATCTGGGCATGCCACACATCATACTCTGGAGATTAGAGATGTAACCAGCACAAAAATCCAAAAAACACAGATATCTGAACAACAGCAAAACCAATGTACTAATTAATCTAAATATAGATTTAAGATATGGTATGTCCATAATTACAAAGCAGTATGGGTTTACACTATCGACTGCCGGTCCCCATAAATATTGCAAACACCTACAACCTGAACATCTCATGAGACCTCATGGGGAACACACCCCAAAGGTACAAGGGATTAGTTCAGTAATCTGACAGGGAAATACGGGAAGCTTATTAAATACAGGAAGAACACCTGGACCCAAATACTAAGGTTTTCATACTTGGGTCTACTCCATTGTGTTTGGCAGAGTGCCTGGTTCCAACTCTCTCAAAGTTGATGTAGATTAGTTTGCTTCCTGTTTTTCTTCTCAGTAGAACCAGTTCAATGATTCAGACTTCTGCAATGGATCCCCCATCTCTCTTTGCAAAGTATCAGAATAGTTCATGGAATGCATATTGAAAGGACAAAAGCTGAAATCACCACTCAATCCATTGGGTTGGTCACCGAATTGCTGCTCAAATGGCATTATGTCCTCATGGAATAAGAACTGCTGCTGCTGCTGCACCAAGTTGTCAACTTCTTCAAACACATTGCCACCCAATCTAGTCCCTTGGGGAAAGTTGTCTTCCATCTGAATTCTAGGTTGAACAGAATTCATCATTTTCGACATACCTATGCCGCCCATATTCAAGTTCTTGTTAGCATTGACATTGTTGTCATAGAAACTCATCAGCTCATTGATTGATTTCTGACCATCGTAGGGAACACCAACATCAGATATGTCAACGGAATTGAGCCCTGATCCGAGTGAAGTTGGATCGAGTTGGGTGTTAAATGGCAAAGAGAAAATCGGTGGCTTGTTCCCTTTCATCTTGGGTCCACTAATTGCTGATCCGATGCCTTGAGGAATAGTGTTTTGATACTTACAGAGGTATTGGTGACTGTTTCTGGCATTCCTATCCAGAAAGCCATGCCGGAAATCACTATGTGGACATTGCACATTACCACAGGTATAGATTCGTTGGTTTTGCATTGATTCTGGCTCAGCAGCACCTCTTTTCTGAATAAATTCCATCTTAGTCTCTTCCTTCACAGAAGCAGTTATAACAGTCTTCTCGTTCTTTGCGGTGCTGCCCAGATCAAAAGCATTCACTTCAGCATGAGACTTGTGATTTACCGTATCCATGCTCTCACCATCATCAACACCTTCAACATCATATTCAATGCAGCTGCTACCAAGGGAGGTGGCTCCAGTGTTGCCACTACCAGACGATGGTGGAAAGCATGCATCAGGGTGCATCTTCATGTAGAAGTCCTCCTCCTGCTTGATAACAGCAAGCCATGTCGTGCTCTCTTTCGCAGTCATCTTGTCTTGGAGGCCCTTCGACTGCCTAACAAGCTTACGTATCTTTTCGATGTCAGGTGACATATGTTTGATTACGGCAGTCAAGACACTAACCTTCCATGCCTTTTTCAGATCATGGGGCTTCTTGTAGGGTGGTGGACCTTGGTCTTTGGGTATTTCCAGCTGAAGCCACCACTCCTCTCTCCCAGTTGGCCACCATGGTGGTGCAACTCCCTTCTCTAGGGGAAACCTTCGCTGAGGCGGGTTGCAGTGCTGCATAAGAGCTGACAAGAGAGAACCCAGTGTTGTGTCCTGAAGCTCCTGCAACGAATGAAGGCCTGCAGTCGCAGAGTTCGTTTCGCTGCTGGACCCCAGGATGGCAGTATCAGCCTGATACTTGGCGATAGCTGCAGGTCCATTCCGGTCAAACCTAACCTTTTCTTTCCACCAACCCCTGAAATTATCAGAGGCACCACTTACAGGCTTTCCTTTCTCTGGAATTATACCATAAACAAAGCCCTGGGCATTGCACACTTCCATCATCTTTAGCATGTACTTAAGGATCCCATCTTGGGCACGAGACATTGTCTTTCGGCGGGCTTGTTCCTGGGACTGACGCTGCTTTGCAGAGTCAACTTGCTCTTTGTTTTTGTTCTGCTGTTGTTCCTTTAAGCGCTTCAGCCGCATCCTATCTCTCCACATACGACGTTCGAGCTCTTCTATGTCAACATCTTCATCACTCTCTTCATCAGCAGCATCAGAGAAGTTCTCCTGTGGTGGTTCGCTAAGATATTTCTCTCCCGTTCGTTCACCCATCGAAGGCGGATGGGTGGATCCACAGCAGAAACTTTTCTCGTCCGAGGAGAAAATTTGCTTGTAATTAGGACATCCAGAATTAACCGTGCCTTCCATTAGTAGCCCACCCATCATTGATAGCAGCACCGATATATCTACTCAAAAGTAAAAATCAGATGCAGCACTCTCCTGCGAACATAACCATTAAATATCAGAATTAGAATATGAAAATCATGATGTCAAAAACTTTCTTATCATAAATTTCATAATGTGGTCAACACAACAATTCAATACAAAGAGGACGAATTCTCTTTAAATCAATGACTACAGTTAAATTAACTAAAAATACAAACAAAAATTATAGGCAAAGCGATCAGACCAATCAACAAATAACCAACCACCAACTCTTAGTAGATAAAACTAGCAGTGAAAAGTTAAACAAAGTCCCACAAATATTCCAGTGGTTGGTAAAGAAGAAGTTGCAATGCATGAAGACCATGATATGATACAGAAAAGCAAATTGAAACAAATAACTATTATGAGTACCAACATGAATCCGAGTAATCCCAGAGAAGAAAAATCATATAAAATAGAAAAGCAAAATCAGAAAGTAGTAAATAGGAATGACTTCTCTTTCCACTTAAATAACAAGCAACTCGAGTTCTTGATTGAATGAGAAGCTGATCCCAATCTCACAAAGGCAGAGAACAGCTGACATGTCCATCAGATCCTAACATGGCAGATGGAACAGAAATAGTAATAGAACTCCATCCCTATTCCACATTGAATGAAGAGGACAAAGAATAGGAAAGCAACAGATGCCCCCATGAGGTTCACTAATCCAAAATGGAAGCTTAATTAAACCCACCGCATCAAAATTTGGGGAAACGATACATCATCAAAAGCATCCAAATTTGAAACCCTTGCTGATGAATTTGACTAAGCGAGAAATAGGATGACATCGACAGCCGGCCGGCAAATTAGACTGCTGATCTGATCATATGACTTTGCAGAGGCGCAAAGCAGAAGGGACGACGAATCCGTAAATAATTGATGATCTAATTAAGACGAACTCACCGAGCAAATTCCGTAACTAATAGGTTTTCATGCACAAATATCTCGTTTCTAATACCGAAACATCGGCCTTAAACTTAGAACACGCGGTACCAATTGAACTCAATCGTAGTTTATTGGAAATAACGCTGGGTTTCGAGAGGAAACAGCAAATCAAGAACGAAGCGGACCAAAAGAAGGTTTTGGGGGCAATTGAAAAGGCGGAAGAGAAGACGCAAGCGAAGAACAACAACAATTTATGTAGTAAGTGCAAGGAGACCCGATCGAAAAGATTCTACAAAGAAAATGAAGCCTTTGGAAGTGATGGGAGCTTTTACTCTGTATCACGATATAGGATCTTTGACGCTGCCATGAAAGCTACCAAACCCACTTCCAATCCAACAAGAAATTAAATTAAACAAAAGAAGAAAAGGAAAAAAAAAGGACCAGATCAATCAACAGTGTGGGAGATGGGAACAGAGAACAAGAAAGCCACACTGATCAACGAATTATTAGGCAGAAAGTAAAGTAAAGGAGGCGCCTTTACAAGGGAGGATAAGGCAAAAAAATCGCACCTTTTATCGGATTCTTCGCTCCTTCACGAGATCAGACTCTCCTTTCCTTACAGCCGACACGCCGAGAAGGAAACCGATATCAGATTCACGAGCAAGGAAGAAGACGAGGGGGGTCAAAGGCCGCCAGAAGGAGACGAGGTTAAATCGAAAGGACGAAGAGAACGACCAGGCTCAGGCTCAGGCTCATGCTTCTTCGTCCCGCTTCGCTTCTCGGGGTTGCAGTTTGGGGTCAGGTGAAGAGAAGTCGTCAAAAGGCGCACGCCAAGCTACCGCGGAGCCGCGGAGGTGTGGCAATAAAGGCTACGGAGAGAGACACAGTGAAAGAGAGAGAGAGAGGAGACGCCAGCGGACTAATCGCGTCTCGATCGTGTCACTTGTCGTTGCTTCCCAGCTGTCAGGTGCCCGCGGCTTCCCGGAGGGTTCCCGAGTCGGAACGCACCCAATGCATTTACCCTTTTACCCTCCTCTTTTTGGATTACTCCAAACGTAGCGCCCAATACATACATGAGAATAAATTCTCATTCAAAAAAATAAAAATTAATTTTTAATCCATTTCTAAAACTTAATTTTGTATTTATTATATATATGTAAAGGAAATTATTTTTATAAAAGCAGAAAAATGGGGAGAAAAATAAAAAGAAAAAGAAAAAGACAGGCCGCGGGGATTTGCTTAACGTGGTCATAAGATCAAATCATAAAGGCTTTTTAGTCATTTGATATGTTCGTAAAAAACAAAAATAAATATATATATATAATATTGACTCGTTTGCTATTTAATGTAGTCTACGTTGGACGGATTCCTAAATACGTAGCCGCCGCATCGTTTCCCCCACGTGCGTTTTCCTCTCCGACACAGTACTTTAGGAAGGATTGATTACACTAATTAACACGATTTCTATTATATTCTTTGAAGGTGTATTTTTTGAAGGATTTAGTACACCTTCATAAATACAACTTTTTCTACATTTTATCCCATTTTTTAAACATAATAAAACCCTTCTAACTTTCTAATTAAAATTTAATTTTTGAAGGACATTTTGATGTCTTATGGTAAGATCTTAGACTCAAATCCTACACACCACTTACTCTGAATAATAATAATAATAATATATAATTTATTTGTGTATATGTGTGTACTAAAATCTTTAATTTTAATAGGGAATCAGATCTAATTGTCATTATGTATTGCTTCCTATACTGTTTCTCTCTTTTATTTCCAAATTTAATGCTGTTGTTTTTACTCTGTGGTGGAGACTTAAAATAAGATTGATGGATTATTTACATGTTTATTATATGGTGATGAATCTTATTTTTCATATATAAAAAATAAATAATAAATTATACTAGATTTAATCTAAGAAAAAGATAATAAAAAATATTGGGTATTCACATGTTTGGTTGGGATTAAATAGTGAATTAAGTTATGTTTTTGTACCAAATCCAAGTTAAATGATAAAATTTAATTTTTAAATCTTAAATTAATAAGTAAAGTGGAAAAATACAAAAGTAATGTGACACATGTGAATAATACAACTCCAAACCTTTTTGTTTTCTTACTTCAACAGGATTCATATATTTTAAAAAAAATTATTTTACAAATTCAGGAATTTGGCATGGAATGCCAAGATGACATGATGTTGTGTAAGAGATTAGGTTGCTCACTAAAAAATGATGGGGCCAAATCATCCACTATGATCATACTCATCCACATTGCTTGCTATCTTAGTATATACACTCCTTGTAATATGATATGTACATATATTCTTTGAACCATTCCACAGCATATGTAGTGACAGGTGAAATATCAACTGATCAAGGTTGACTTTCATTTGTATCACATGTATCAATTCACTAACTTACAAAGAGGAGAAGCCAACATGGACCAAAACTCTAATTGGACACAAGCAACAACTAGGCATTGACAAGCAAAAGATTGATCCCTTGGAACAATGAAATCCAATTATAGTTTATATCAACATGGTCACAAACAACAAGTTCTTTTAGTTCCAAATAGATTAGGAGTTAAGAATGTTTAACTAAAATAGTTAATATTCTCTCTTCTTTAATATTAAGTTTTTTAGTGGAAATTAGATTGAAATTTTAGTTTACAATGGACATTTATGAATTTTTTTTTACACATAAATATTTAGCACCACAAAATATAAAATTTTCAAGAGTAATGAAACATTTTAAATTTTGCTACTATATGTGATGATAATCCATTATAAAATTAGCTGATTTTATGAAAATACAAGTAGATATATAAATATGTTATCCTAAGATGAAATCTCACTCCTCAACCTAAAATAAATGAATCCAGAAAAAATAAAAAAAATGATCCAAGATCAAAATACAAAGTAGTTCAAAATTTTCAAGATGTGAAACTAAGAGATCATGTATCATTTATAATGTAAAGGACATGAGAGAGAGAGAGAGAGAGAGAGAGAGAGAGAGAGGCTGTGAATTGTGAGGGATTGGATGTCAACTTATCTTGGGCTGGACTACATTTTTGCATTTGGGCTCCACAGACTTGAACTATATTGAATCCAATATAGCAACAAAAGGAGACTGACTTGTATGACTAACCTCACTATAGCAGTTTCCTAAACATAAGAAAACTGTCAATCTATTTGAAAGTAGCTTCTTACTTACAAAGTTTGTTTCAGTTCACCAAGAATTAAATCTAGATTTAATTATATATTTGGAGAAAAGAAACTTCTATTTGAGTAAACATAGTTGGATTGAGATGATGTAGACATGAAGGATGCTTCATGTTGTCCAAAAGCAGCTAATAATTTGAACAGTGAAACATTGGAGAGAAATGTTGCTGGAGTTCCAAAATCTTTGCAGAAGCATGAGACAGAATTTCTGCAAGTAGTCCAGAAGGTGTAGATTTTGTGAAACTTTGAGATTGATGGGAACAATTACTACTCAGGAGAAAGTGCTGAACATTTAGATTTTCTATTTGCTGGGTTGAAGCAACTAATGATGAATGAAGACTGATAAAAATCTTGATATCTTGATTTTAGGAGTTTCTGAATGGAAAATGCTACTGGAGGTTATTTTCAAGAACTTCCTTCTCTTCATCAGTTTCAATTCTTAGAACAACTTAATCTATTTGAAAGGAGAATAAAGTTCTTGATCTATAACCCTTTTGTTGGCAAAACCTTTCCTAGACTGCTATCTCGGTCAGTGTTGAGGTCTGACATAGTTCATGCACTCCAGCTTAATCCATGTTATTCTCCATTTTGTGCAGATAACAATCCACTCAAGTACATGAAGGAGAATAAAGGTCTTGTTCTCTAACCTTTTTTGTTGCCAAAGCAATTGCTAGACTGCTTGAGTGCAATTATAGCAGCTACCAGTATTGATTTCTGCTATAGTTAATTCACTGCTTTGTTCTTTGCATTGCTTATTTCATTGGGATATCAGCATTGCAACTATCAAGAGTGTCTTGCAGTGCAACGACAGTTTCCCTTGGAAATGGATAAAGAAGACCACCTGCAACCACTCATGAGTCATCTTAAGGATCCTTGCTGCTGCTCTTTATTCACCTTGATCTCCTTGTCTTGGCACACAAGCCTTGGTTCATGCATCTCTTCTGCAAGCTCCTCATCAGCATTTTCACTCACCCAGTTGAGCAAGTTTCAGCCAAGCCAGATCTGAAGTACCCTCATTGGAACTTGAATCCTTATCCTTGACCTTGACCTGTCTCACATCAAGTTAATGTTTTGCAAACACAATAATGCAGATTTCCACACACTTGTAGCATTCCACAGGCAGTCTTTGTTTCCCCAATGTTCTACTTTATTGCAAGTGCCTAGCTGTGTGTAGTAATATATTTATTACACAGGTTGATGGAATTCTACACCCATGTTGTGGCCTCATGAAATTAAATGAAAGGTGCTCAAGGAGGTATCCAATTTCTCATTGGTGGAGAACTTTAAGTAAAGGGATAGCTTGCAAAAGGCTGGGGAAAGAGGGAGAGCTTTATTCTTGATGCAGCACACTCATGAACAGTATCTAGCTTGTCCCCTTCTCATGGTCTCAGCTCAGGATGGAGATTCTTGGCACACAACTTTATGCTGATTGAACAGATTGAATGATAAAAAAAACAAGGGAGGGCTTGGCATTCTGATTAAGATAACTTGGAATTCCTATCTTTAATCCTTGCATCATTCTCTGCTTAGGACATAAAGAAGTGGGGGGAGGGAGATGGCCATCATCATATGCCACCTTCCTTGTTCCCCTTTTCCCCCAAGCTAAACCAATCTCCACCACCTTCCATGACATGCTTTTGTAAGCAAATCTTGAAGTGACACATGGCTTATCTCCCACCATTTTTAACTCTCACTTGTAGTATACTGGCATTCCAATGAATTGTCTATGGATCCGAGTGCTGCTCACTCTGATTAGACTTCTGCCTAATAGCAAGTCTGCAGGTGGCAACACACGTATGCATATACATGGAATTTGGATTGTGTTAAGTGACATATAAATCTCTTAATTATCATGTAATTATTGATTCAGCCCCTTCTGTTTATCACTCTGTTGACTATTTCATGTGCCAATATATACTTTTAGTTGAATTGTTCTTCGTTTCTGTACATTGAAATCTTCTTTAATTCCATCTAATATGAGGATTGATTGATTGATTGATGGTTAATCAAAAGACATAAGGATTATTTTTGTAATGACCCTTTTTATGGTTTGGACATTTGGAGAATTAGCAGATAAGTACTGGTGACAACAGCTATCAACTTCATCCCTCAGATATATGTATATATATACATGACAGTGACACCTTAGAGCTCCACCAAGAGCTACAGCAGCTGTTTCTTGAAACCATGCTGTCACCACAACTAAAACAACTTCCCTGAAGGACCAACATCCATGAGAGCTTCAATGCAAAGTCCAGTTTGTGGTAATGGCATGGAATCAAATCATCCTGCATGGTTTTGTCAATGTTATAGTTTCTGTGATTAGTATAGTACAAAATGCAGTGTCATATATTTGTAGTACTCCATTCTTTTCACCTTCCTAGGATGACTCCTGTGAGTTTCCTATGTCAGCCAATTTAGAATGATTAGAACACAACATTTTGTGGTCCCTTGCATAGAAAATTTGGAGACTTTGAATTACTCTTTTCCTCCTGCATCAAACACTCCAATTTTTTTTCTTGAAAGTGCTCTCTTTTGCATCAGATACATGAATAAGAAGGAAAATATTTGAGGTTTGAAGAGCAGCAGCTGGAACTTCTGAATCTTGTAAGTCCATTTCTTAGCAGTACATTTGTGTGTGGTGAAACAATGATCAGCAACAATCAGATCAGTGCCTTTGTTTCTTGACATGGAAGTCATTATGCTTTAAATGCAGCTTGGTTGAGATTTTTTTTGGCCAAGTCCTGTTGCATAAAGCCATATCTTGACCTGGGGAACTGTTTTATGCCCTCAAGCTTGGTAAAATATTTGATGTACCAAATATGAATCCTTATTTTGTCCTCAGTAAAGGAAATATTTTTCTTCATACCTATTCCAAAAAAAGATCCGACTTTTCTTTAAGTTCTTGTTGTGAGATTTATGCACCACTAAATCATGGGATATTCTTCTGGGAAACAAAGCACAAGTCCACCATCATATGTTCAGACATTGTCACCCACCATACACAGATGCATAAAGGCCAAGAACCTAGACTTCCTCACATCAGGTCCTCACTCTTGGGACTCTCTCCATAGCTTGCCAGTTGCCAGGTGTGTTGCTTCCTTGAGGAGATGGAGGCTGCAGCCGATAGACTTTGATCTGGTCCCCAGCAGGTTGGGAGGTAGAAGTACCATAGGGTTGCTTTACTCATGCTCAGCTGCTTGGCTTGATTCCTCTGCAGATGTTTTTGAGCTGAGGGAGTTTGCTGTCACTGACAAAAGAGATCTTCTGTGGCTGTGCATCCTCTGCAAAACAATTCCAGATTTCTTTTTGGTCATGCATGCTTGCAGCTCCCAACTACCTTTTCAGAAAGAACTGTTAGAGATTTGATTAAGGTTTAATCTTCTTTCCCCTGGACAATTCTTTTAAGATGTTCTTGGGGTGGTAACCTGAGAGGTTTCTTGAAGTTGCCTTTCTCCGTTGGAACTGACGAAACCATTCATCCTTTCTCTGTCTTCTATTTCCTTGCATTGCACTATTCGTTTTGCTTTCCTTCATTTTTGTTCGCTTGCAGTGCAGGCTTAGGAATGTTGCATGAATCCTTCTGTTGGAGTGGGTGAGAGATGAGCAGTAGTAATCTTGTGCGTTTCGGCAGGAAGAACAGGTAAATGGGCACGACAATGGCGACGCAGGGAGTCGGAGGAAGGCAGCAGTCGCAGGTCCAAAGCTTGGCCAGGCAAGGGTCCATCTACAGCCTCACCCTCAACGAGGTCCAGAGCCACTTGGGCGAGCCCCTGCACAGCATGAACCTCGATGAGCTCCTCAGGAGCGTGTTCCCGAGCGAGGAGCACCAGTCCTCGGGAGCTGACGCTGGTGGTGGCCATGGCGCCCAGGACCCGCGCCTTCACCGCGAGGGGAGCGTCACCATGCCGCGTGTTCTGAGCAAGAAGACGATCGACGAGGTGTGGCGGCACATCCAACAAGGGCAGAAGGAGGCCGAGGAGGGCGTCAGGGACTACGGACGGCAGTCCACTCTGGGGGAGATGACCCTTGAGGCCTTCTTGTCGAAGGCTGGGATAGTCACAGAGGTAGCTGATAGGAGCCGAAGCAGTGAAATCGGCAACGTAGGTTTCATGCCGAGGTCGCAATGGTTACAGCAGTATCATCAACGCCAACATCAACAGGCGCAACAGAGCATTGCGGGAGCTTATGGGGGTCGGCAGCTGCCCCAACCTTTGGCCATAGTTGATGCAGTGTATCACGAGGGGGAAGGAGCTAATTCATCCCCATTCAATCCGCAGACGCCAAGGAGGAAGAGAGGGCCTGTGGAGGACATGGCGAAGAAGACGGTCGAGAGAAGGCAGAAAAGAATGATCAAGAACCGGGAGTCAGCAGCCCGTTCACGAGCTAGGAAGCAGGCAAGCTCAATTGATGTTCTTGTTCGGTTGATACTGGTGTCGATCTTTGTTCTACCTGCTGTTCTAAGACAATTAATTGACTCCATCTTGTTCATTTCTTCTTGATGCATGCATCTTAATAGCAATTCTGTGTTCTCTATGCACAGGCTTACACCAATGAGCTGGAGAATAAGGTTTCCAGACTTGAAGAAGAGAATCAGAGGTTGAGACAGCAAAGGGTACTTTCAATCTTTTACCTCAGTCTTTTTTTGATTGATGATTGATCGAAGCCGCAAGTTTGTGATAATAGATGTGTGCAGAAATCCTATCATTATCTTGCTACCTACTTCTTTGATTACATAGTTCATCTTCATCAATTAAATTAGCAGAATCATAATCTTCAATCAACTATAAAGCAAGCAGGACTTTAGGTATCGAAAAATATGTTGTAGATAGTATTCTCCTTTCGATATCATCAATTTTGAAAGTTTAAGCCTTATTAAGTAAAGCTTAGCTAAAAGGAAAGCTTATTTTGCTATTGAGGTTATAATAGGGGCCACAAAATGGTTTTAGAAGTGATCCTCTACTGTTCTGTAAAATGAAGAGAGAGAAAAGACTAAGGGAGGAAGCTACTGGTGTGAAGCAAGATTTAGTAACCTTGAGTTTGTTCCTGTGTTAGATTACTGCAGACAGACTGGAAAAACATCAAAAAAAGTAATATCTGCTTTATAAAAGGACTTTAGTCAGACAAGCTGTATGTATCTGATACGCGTTAATACAAAAGCATAAAAGGACTATAACTGGTTCTGCTCAAACTCCCAGCAACATTTTGCTTGGCAATTTTTGGAAAGTCATATGATCAAATTGAATGAAAAGAAGGGTCTTGTTTTAGAATGTAGATTTGCAACAAAAATTCGCGCTTGTTCCAGTTGGTCATTCAGTACATCTATTAAGTTTTTCGAAAGTTTAAGAACTTTTCTCTAGGAAATTTAGGTTTTGAACTTGCTGCTGATTTTTAGTCCTTGATGGATTTATCAATCTAGTTCACTTCTAGGGTATTCTTGATGAAGAAATTTGTCATGAAGTTACAGTTTGGTGTCATCAATTCTTCCAGTGGACTGATCTAACTCCAGATAGCCATGATTTTGATTGTTGCAGATTTCTTCTATTGTGTTCTTCCGCATTATGTTACTTTTCCCTGCTCCCACTTTCTCTGTAATTTTCTCAGTTGCTGGCTTTCCTTGTCGATAGGCCATATTTGCTGCATTGATCTTAACATGCCATTATTTTCCTAGTGTTTCTTTTTTCTTTCCCAAGCTAGGTATCAGTTTACTGTTAATCGAGAAAAATTCAAATGATTGATTGATTTATGATTTGCTACTAATCTGATAGTTTCATGTAGCAATTACTGCCTAATTGGTTTTCATTTTAACACTTGATCTTACATAAATGCATTATTCATACACCTTTGTATCAAACAAATGGTTAGCAGGAGCTGTGATTAAGTTACGACGCAATGCCAGATTATGGAAACTCTTAGCATCAATGTTATGTCGTAAATGTCATATATATTATTAAAATGCAGAAGGACAGGAAGGTTGTGGATAGACAGTTCTACGATTTGGTGCTTTTGTTGCAAACATAAAATTCATTGATGATCTCAAAAGAAGGATATCTGATTAGGAACTAATAAAAGAAAAGAAAAGACACTCTGTGATCAAGCAGAGTGGATGTCAAGTTTGAACTCTATGGTAGTATATATGTTGTCTGTCAGTTGAAAAGAAATGGATTCTGATCTGAAATGTTCAGAGAGCTTTCTTTGCAGTAAATGGTCACAAACATTTCCACTGAGAAATAAAAAGAATTAATGAAAAGATCTTATCTAAGTCTCGTATATCTCTGTTTCCCTACAGGTATCAATTATGTACATTTCTCAAGTATCGATCAGTGTCACTGAATTATATATACATTTAGCATTCAGTGAAAAGTGTTGCCTTTCTTCATCCAAAGTGAACTCTCTGCAACTGAAATCTGCGCATTGCCATGGCGGTTGATCCCTGTTTTTGCTTGACTGCAGGAGCTAGAAGCTATGATACACCACATCCCCCAGCCCGAGCCGAAGCATCAACTGCGTCGAACAAGTTCAGCCCTTTTCTGATCTACCGATAAATTTGCGCGGTTTGGTGTCTTAACAAGTTTTGTATCAGGAACATTTGCTTGCATGTTGATTGGGCTCCAGGATTCATATGAACAGAGTAGGAGCTCAGCAGTCTGCTGTTGTTGCTGCTGCTTCTGTTCCAAGGTTTCACTCTGCAACTTATTTGCAATATAATGAACACAAGAGTGGTGTGGTAGGTATCACATCTCTCTTTTGGCTTCTGTGTTGCATTCTAGTGCTGCAGTTCATGTTTTGCTTGCTGAGATCCATTTGACTCAAAAATGCATATAAGTTTATATCAATCTAATAAAATATGTTTATTAAAATATATTTAATTAATTATTCAATTTTATAAATTATTATATTTAATTTATTAATTTTATTTTCTTACTTTCTCAACAAAAAAATCCTTCAAATTCCTTCGAATTCCAAAAGGATACAAAGATAGCTTAGAACATCTAACCCAAACAAGTTGACTTTTATTGCCTAAGGTCAACGGCCATCAGATGGGTGACGGAAACATGCAAGTAAAGCCATTGATGTGCCGTGAAGCTCCACATCAGTGTCTTCCATCTCCCATTGCTACGGTGACGCCGTCTCGTGCAGTACCACGGTGTCCCGGCACAGAGGGCACGCAGCCTTCCCCAACATGACCCAGCGGTCCAAGTAACGCCGGTGGAAGAGATGCCCGCATCTGAGTTCTGTGATCTCTTCGCCTTCTCCCATGTCCGACAAGCAGACCACGCACTCGATCACCTCATTTGGCCCCTTCGTTGCCGACGTTAAGCGATCGACGTCACGTAGATGATCCGGAACCGATCTCGGGGTTGCTGATCCCGGCGGCGACGTTAAGTGATCACGTGCTTGCAGCCTTTTTGATTGCCAGAAGAAGAAGATCCTGAACGAGAGAGAAGGAAAAGTGGAACAGAAGTAGCGAGAGGAGGGAGATATGGAGACATATCAGTATGTCCATGAAGATAAGGAAGAAGAAGAAGAAGACACTTTATAGACTCCATATAGTGTAGGCGTGGGTGTTTGAAGGCCATCATCTCTCATGATAACTGTTACGGTCAGTAACTGTTCAGCCGTGGCCCTGAGGTCGTCGCGGCTTGGTCCGAGTCCGGAAGGTGGTGGTCAAAGGATGAGGAGTCTCCCCGAGCCCGCTGGGTCCCCCTGGGCGGTGATCTCCGAAGGCTTTGCACCTGCATCAAGGCCGGGTCGGGGTGCTTGACCCGGCCCCTCCGACGATCAAGTTAACGAAGGATGTGGAGGGGGTTTTGGGAGGAGGAAAAGTCTCCCCAGTATTGAGCGTGTTGAGAGAGTCTCCCCTTTTGTTCAGGACTTGGGGGTATTTATAGAGAAATCACGTGTTACCTGACTTGACCGCCTGCTGGAGTGAGGTGGCACCTCTGATGGCGTCTGATGCGGCCGCTGGGGTCGCGTGGCGGAGTGGCTCGTAGCAGGGTATGGGCGAGGGGCAGGTTGTTGTCCGGCCTGGCCGTGGTCAACCATGCAGGGTCGGGCGTCGCCTCTCGACAGCGGGGGTCGTCAGGGCGAGTCTAGTCGGCGTTATTGCTTTGGCCGGAGGCTGTCGTCATGGTGCGTCAACCGTGCCATTATTTTCCCTATCAATAACCTTCTATGAAACATTGGTCAACTTGCATCTTCTTTACACGACCCCTACAGCTTGTGCTTGTTCTCCACTTGTGTAGGGGTCCCAAACAAAGAAGATTGCTTCAAATCTTCCGGAGCCCATTCTCATTCTGCAAGTTGTTGGCAGACACAATATTGGAGTTGGCTACTTAATGCTGAGTTCCTTTCTGAGTGGATCATGAGAAGCCAATGCATTTATGTTCATGACAATATACTGTACATAGAGAGAGAGAGAGAGAGAAGACATTCGTGGAATAACTTTGGAGGTAAGAAGTGGTTTTACAATCTGAACGTCTTGATGATGTAGTGATGCTTTTGAGTTCATTCTCAGATCTTGATCACACTTATCTTTGGGACAAACTCCATGAACCATGCAGAAGCATACTTGCTTCAGACTTTGCAGAGCTTCAAGGATTCAGTTGATCTGCAAGAAGACTAAATCAAACTATTATATATATATATATATATATGAAGTGACTTTATCTGCTTAAGCTTTTTTTTGTTCAGAAGAATGTCAAAGCTTTGATTGGAGTTTCTCACATCATTAGGTCATATCCAATGAACCCAAGAATTTGGAAGCATATATATTTATGCATGGATAATTATTCTTACTCGCTGCTCAATCATTGTGGATGAAAAGAAGATGATGCCCAGTTCTTTGGTCAACACCGCATGACCACCAGGACAAGCTCGATACTGTAGCCATGCCACTTGGAGAGTTACATGCAAGAAACCCAAATGCACGGCGACACTTGCAGCCCTTGAAATAAAGACTTTTGACTTCTTCCAACCCAAAAGCTCAGAGAGATGAATGCAACACTGAATCCCACCCATATCTGACGTTTTCGGTGTGTCTCTTTCTCCAGCCACCCTCAGATTGCTGCTAGTGCTGTGATAGGCAGGAGTCTATCTGAACTTGCAAATTAGTCAGTGGCGGATGCTGTCATTTACACAGAAAAAACAGTGCACGCCTCTTTTCAGGAGACCACGCATGATGTTGTACTTCACCATGTAGAGCTAATCTTGGGTACCCGAAAATAGGCATGAATAGATAGACAAGCTTCGAGAAAATTGGAACAGACCTCATCCTTGACTTGGTAATAAGAAGCTACACTTGCCAACCAGAAAGCCAGTGGCAATTTGATGTGCCCTTCGAGAGAGACAACCAGCTGTGTCGATGAAATATGTAGCAGCTGTACTGCACCAACCACTGCTATTGCAGCTGTTTTTCTTCCACTAAAAACCAAACCTCTCTCTCTCTCTCTCTCTCT